AAGTAAATATCTTAGGAAAGAAATTGTTTTTTAAGTTCGGGGAAAACGTAAATACTCCAAGAATCCATTATCAATCCACCATCAAATCGAATTGTAACAGCTGTGTTATAGAAATCGATTTATTATGTTTATTTAAAAATAATCCTTGTAAATCGTGTATTCTTTGTCGAGCTCTTCGGCTATTTAATAGAACTCGAGTTATTACACTCACATACAAACAATTCTTAAAAATCATGTATTACGATTTCGTATATCTTCACAGCTACAAGGAAAATGCTATTGTCAACACAAAACTACCCCGTACAATTGCGTTAAAAAATACCATGAAATCTGTCAATTATTACGATTCTAGCACATGTATATTAGTAGTCTCTAACGTACTATTTTTCGGGCCATTATTCACTGGTCAATATTTCCCGTTGATACTGCCTTCAAAACCTCAATCGCATGCGTTTAGTTCGTTAAACGTCGCGCGATTATCATCAGACATCGGTTACAGAGCGCATAAGCATCGCTCAGTAATGTTGTTGTCAGGATAAAGCAATTTGCCATGAAAAATAGCTGCGTTTCCTCTGCCTCTGAGGAACAGCAGGAATGGGAAGCGAGACGTCGTGGTACAATGGATTAGTTCGTGTGACATGGGAGCTACAACGCGGAATCCTTGAGGATAGAACGCGAACCGTCAGGGACGTGTTTGCCAACCTTGCGACTTAATATTGTGTGCCTTTGTTCGTCGTGTCGTCGCTGGTCTGATGATTCAATCGATTATTACAACGGCCCGAAAATAGTACGGACAAGGGTAACAGTTTCGTTATTTACACCGAAATAGTATCCGGTCTTTCTCAGTCATTTGTGCGTCGCGAGATAGCTAACTTTGCATACGAATTCCTTGCGTTCGTGTGCCTGTATGTGTGTATATGTTTGTGTGAAACTTTGGGAAGGAGTGTGCACTGCAGCGGTTTCGCGATGAAACTGAATACAGTAACAGATCAGATAGATTTATATGTGTCCCGGCGCTGGATCCGATAGTATTTAGCGAGCGAATATGTAACTGTTGCTTTACGTCGTCCACGGGTTATAAATGTCGTTCTTTTTGTTTCAATGTTTTGATTGACGTTGTTTGTTTCACGCGCAATTTTTTACTCGAGACGATCGCGACAATGTGTTTTAAAGAGTACGCACGCGGATCTTTTTAATGTTGACTTCCAAAACGCCTAGCGTCGATGATGCTTTTAAGAGAAGCAATAGGCAGTTTTCACGAAACACAAGTAGCTCTGCAAAATTATCCAGTGATACAGTCCCTCGCGAAATGCATTAGATTAGCTCGGAGTAACTTGATTCGCCAAAAACGAAAGCGAAGAAAAAACTAAGATTTATCGGTCTTTTTGAGGTAAGAGTAGAGCGCGATGTACATATATATATATATATATATATATATATATATATATATATATATATATATATATATACGTGTCTCTTGTAACCACAATTTATCTTAGTTTCTATCGTTAAGCAGTATTTTAATGCATTTAGAGCTATTTCTCTCTCTCTAGTTTCGAAAGAATTTTTCATTGTGTTTCCTTGGCGTTTGTGAAGTAAGTGCTCGGCTAGAATGGATATGTGTATATTAATTTCATACACTAACACAGAGATTACAAATAGATAAGATCAATACTAGCAACTACGATTAACCTTTTCTTTCGCTTGTTCTTTCTTAGTTCTGACATCCTGATGAAGTTTTTATATCGCGTACGTGTTAATTTTCAAGCTTTACAAACGTTTATAGTAAAAATGTCGCTTGATAATAAAATACCATCGATCTCGTATTTTTCTTCTAAAGAGAGAAAGCATACGTCTGTACGGGGCAAACAATTTCTAATTACAACTAGACCATCGGGAATGGTATAAAATAAATTGAGTACACAGGTAAGCTGGATGCAAGCTCGAGTTCCAAGGTACACACGTACGAAGCGAAGCTTGAGTTTATCCAAAGAGCGAGAGAATACGTGCTTCGGGCAATACATACACACACACACGCGCGAGAGTAGAGACTCTAAAGGGTCGCGGCGCGCGCACACTCGATTGATCTGCCACACTTAAGCTCGATATCAAGCCGCCTGAACAATTATTATTATCTGGAGCGTTGGCCCTCAGTCAGCAATATGTACCGAATCCCGCTAAGTTCAGCTTCCCTTATCGGACAAAGAGCCTGCTCTGCAGTCTCGAATATCCACCATGGTATCATCGTCGTAGTTCTGCAGAACGTGAACTCCAAGCTTCTATCTCCGCGAACATATAGATCTTGATGAATCGCAGCCACGCACGTCATGCCACAGAAGGGCGCTCGATAATCATCTGATTGTGTACGCGCGTGTGTGTGTGTGTGTGTCATGGCCACGTGAGTGAAAGAGAGAGAATGTGCGCATCATCAATCTAAACAGCACGCTTTAGGCTACTGCTCGCTTTATTGTCGGCGTCGTTGTAGTAGCTCCTTTTCACACACTGGACTTTTGCACTCTCTGTGCTTGCGACTTCGTAAAAGGGTCATTTCTTTTGACAAATCGCGCGCACTCCTATTTTTTCGCTCGTGAAATTTCATATAAAGGGAGTTGGTAGTTTTGCGATGTCATATGGCTGTAACACGGTTATTCTTTTTTCTTTTTTGCCTATGTGCTTACCGAAGCTTTTAAGAGTCTTTAAGAGAGCGAGAGAGAGAGAGAGAGCGCACGCTTTCAAACGAGTTTTTGGTATTGATTCTTTTTGTTTTGGACGAGCGTGCGATTATAATAATTTGGGTAGACGTTGCAAAGAATGGCTTTTAATGTAGGCGATTTTACATTTAAAGTCAACAACATTGAAGGTGAAAAAATAGATTCGTTTGAGAGAATCATAATTTTTTGTTACTAATTGAAAAAAAATATTTAAAAAATAGTAAGATAATGAAATAGTTGAGGATTTGTAGAGGTGGTATGTTTGTGGCATTGTTCTCGCGATAACGCGAAATGACATTGTCGTTAGTGTGACGCTATTGCGCGAACATATTGGTACGAAATTGTGTACTAAAGAAATGTCGGATTCAAACAACGTTATAAATCGTTTTAGTGCGCGAGCTTTAGCGTTCGAGTCGAGTCGATAAGTAGCTTTGCCTAAATCCACGAGAGATTTAGAATAGCCTCGTATATCTAATGCTCGTCTGGCAAAGACGAGCACGCAAACTTGATACACCCAAAAGTAGAAAAGATGCCCTGGAGCGTTTATGGCGTGCATGAATATTTCCGTGTGTGACTCGACAGTTCTGTGAGAAACATCCGTTACACGGTGCTCGCGCATTGTTCGAAGTAAGTTTTCACCTAAAGAACGTGGCTTTTCCCGGGGCTTTGCAAGATTTTTGCTCCGACAACCGGCTCATCTTTTATTCGACGTATGTGCCTTTCCATACAAACTCGTTACATTAAAGCCGTCCTCGAAGAACAGAAGAAACTCAACAACAAAAAATGGTAAAGCATCTTAAAGTAGCCTCATTACGAAAACTCTCGCGACACGGCATCAGCATTAAAGTTTTTCAAGTGTATAATCCGCAAAACATATTACTCGACTTGAGTAGCGGCAAAGTAAATGATTGAAAATCTCTGCGGGAAAAAGCCGCGTCGCTGCGATAAATATCGACAGAACACGTTCTATTTTAAACGCAACTCATTTCCTTATCGACAACCGGGTGGCGGCAGCGTCGGTCGCGAGTGGTCAACCTATATCTTTCGTCCTCGTTCTCCGCGGAAGTTAACAAGCCCAGGGCTACGGACAGAAAAAAAGAAAGAAAAAAGATCCGCCGCCAGGGAGGTGATCCGTCCAAAGCTGAATGCGAGCGGCGCAAAAGTCACCGAGTCCGCGAAATCGCTCGCTCTCGCTCGAGTGGCGCTTGAAAGTTGTACGAGAAGCCTCCGCCGTTCGGGCGCAAGTTGTCCGCGGCAGCGAAGAATTAGGTTCGCCGGGATCGCGCTCGTTTGGCTCGCGCGTCCGCGCGAGGCTGCATCTCGCAGCCGGGAGGCGCGCAGCGGCAGTTCGCGCGAGATAACAGCCCAGGTCTGAATTATTCATCGACGTTATAACGCATTACCATTCCGTTTGTGCGTCCTGCGAGGCTATACGTCGCTCCTTATATCTCGAGCTTCGCGCCGCTGCATTTCCTATTACCGGGCTTTCTCGCATTTCACATTGGTTCCGTAGCCTGCGAGCCAAACTCGCTTTCCGTTGTTCCGATACGTCTGCGAATGACGCTTTTCTCAAGGCTCGCGTCCGTGCGGCTACCATATTCCCTCGCGATTTTCGCTGTTGTGCCACACGTACACACACGCACACTGTGTATGTCGACTTCGCAGCCGTTATTTTACATTAATTTGAAATTCGATTATGCATCCGCTTGCGTGCTTATGATGAAACATTGCGATCGCGTATTTTTCGGACGACTTTCGCCGAGAGAAATATTACGAATCTTTCGGACGTATGAATCTAAATATTGAAATTATCGTTTTGAATTGCAAAAATTCTGAAAATAACGCGTATCAATGGAAAAATAGTGAGCAGTGCACGAAACGGACGGATTTACAGCACATGGAACGCGTTGTGCGCGCGTTCGAGTGATGGCGAATCTTCAACTGCGAAATCTAATTAAAGTGCGGGCAGGCTACAGTTCAACTGTCAATTGTCGTCGGTGATGGGCGTTGAACGTGAATGCGATTAAAATTGAGAATAGATAGTTGATACGATAATTTCTTTCTTTTTTTCGCGATAACGTCCTTCGAAAAAGTCAGTTTTCTTGCCTTGTTCTTTGACCTTCTTTCGCTGCCAGTCAATAGATTATGAGTTTGCGAATCTGACGGCGTGGCTCATAACTCAACTTCGTGTACACAGTAAGAGAGGTCGGTTTCGTGATTGCACAGGCAGAGTGGAAAATGCGCAGTTGCGTCGAGATCGCGTACGCGACTTATCGAGAGAGCGCTTACCTTCTCGTCAATTTTCTGCGCGGCATTGTCCGCGAGCTCCTTGGCTGCTCCGGCTGCCTGATCGACCTTTCTCGACATGTAGCCTCGGAAAGTTGACTGGATTTTCACCGCTGCGTCTAGCAGCTCTGCAAGAAGCGACCGAACAAAACACGTTAACTGTGTGCTATGCAAAACGAACCAAATTAAGAACAACAGGTGCGACAAAGTCACTTACCCGGATCGTCCTCCTTGAATTCCTTTTCGAGCTCTTCTTTGGTAGGTTCTGTCTCGGCGTTCTGTTTAGCCGAGTCAGTCTCTTTCATACTCTTCCGTGTCTTGTGACCACGGAAAGCTGCCTGTATCCTAGTAGCAGCTTCCTCCTCTTCGTCTTTTCTCCTGTCTGTTTCTTCTTCGTCTCCTCCTCCTTGCACCTCTTCCTCTTTTGCTCCCTCGTCACCTTCTTTTTCCTCCCTGGGATTGCTATCGTCCGCTGTGACGGTCTCCGCGGACTTGGGTACGTCTAAAACAACGCAAACAAACGTTCGCAGATGTAGCAAATAACCTTTTCGTGTCACGCAATAAAAAATAAAATGACTTGTTGGTTTTCGCGTACACTATTTTTCCAGCAAATGGCGTGCAAGGAAATTCATCAAACGAGCGATGTACCTTTTTTTGTTTTTTCATCGTTCTCTGTCCACCGAAGAAATGGCTATTTTCAATTTTCAAAATGTCAACAACGAGCGCTATTTCATCTACAATCTTGGTACACTGATAACTTTCTTCTTCATATATCGCGAATCAATCAAATTCGGGAGGAAAAGAAAAAGTGTAATCTGCATGTTTACAGAAAAACATTTTTCAATTCGTATTCGTCAGAAATATGACGCATAATAGAGAATACAAATCTTATGTAAGAATACTTTTTAAATCCCTTTATAAAAATCGATTATAAAATATGATATACTCGTCAGTTCAATCCGTCTTTTGTTAATGTGAAACTATATTCCTCCGCTCAAAGGAATGAACAAAAATATCTTCACAAATATTCGATTAAATCCGACGCACGCAGAATTCATTCCCTTTCTCAAACACCTGTCAAATAAAAAAAAGAAAAAACAAATAGGTTGGAAAGAAGGTATACTTTGCTTTTCAATTTCCGACCGTGAGAGAAAACGTGATCTGGTTCGCTTTGGGAATCCGAGTGACTTTTATTTTTTTTTCATTCTCTCGCCCGCCTAAAGTAGAGAAATCCGAGAGCTCGTGCGTGTGGACCAAAGAAAAGATCAGCCCGGCAGCACCATTCTTGAAAATTCGCACACGATGATATCCAGAACGGCCATCTCTTCTTCACCACCGTCATTGCACGCGTACGCGGCAATTAGTTTTTAAAGAAAATGGACGAGCATACATCTAACCACAAAGAATCATTGTAGTAGCACATACGCCTACGTGATCCCTTTATCTCTCTTTTGCCTGACTGTGCTACGATTATGGGTGAAAAAAGAGACGTTATAAAAGGTAGAGAAATGTTATGTAGGTCTTCAGGCTAAATGAGGGGCGTTCACAGTGACCTTTCTAAAAGCCAATATTTGTTTTACTTTTATTTTATTGTTTTTATAGGGAAGGAGGTTTCTTTAACATTTTTTATCGCTGAAAGTACGTGTTTTTTTCGTCCCGCATGAATTTTCCTCTGTTGAACTTTTCATTTTGATCGAAAGCGCACAAAGGCTTTCGCCGGATATGCCATTTAATTAATGCGCCTCTTCTGCTCTTTGACATGCGTATTATTCATATGCGCAGACAAAAAGGGGAAATATGGAAATTCCACTATCAGATTATACCTTGCATTTAATTATTCGAGATACAGGCCTTGCAGTAATATAATTTCAAAGTTTTCCCCAAGAGTAGTTCGAGAGGCATGCAAACCTCCGTAACGAACGACATAAAATAGAATCTGCGTATTTGTCTCTTTTTTTATTCATTTATCCCATTATTTTTCCAACCCTAACCTAATTTAAAAAAAAATTTCGTAAAGTATTGCGAGTCGGATTAACTTGGAAGAGTCGAATAAAAAAAGTAGAGTAAGAAGATCTTTAGTTTCCAATTAAAATGTGACTGTCAAAAGTCGGGAGCTCAAAAATTAACATCAAAATACGCAAGCTTAAATCCTACTTTCTCGCTGTCGATCCAAAAAATACCGAGCAAGAGCGTAGCTTTTTTTCCTTGGAGAAGAAAAAGAGCCTATCTGTCTTTCGTACACTCGTGTACGAGGATTTCATTCTCCTTATATTCTCGACGTTTATGGACAGAGGATAATCGGACATTCTCGAATCGAAGACAAGTCCCCTAAATTGATGTGGCCTTGACATTCAAGATTTTCCATCTCTTTAATAGGAAGCTCCTGTCGGATCGAAGGAGAGTATGGTTTGTTTTTTCAGAACTATTTTATGATATTACCACGTCGTACTTTTGGCAAAAAGGGACGATACCTTTACCTTTTTCGTGATGAATCTCTATAAACGAATATTCGGCGATCATGAGAAATCGTACTTCCTAGTTCACAGCCGAATCTATTTTAGCTAAATATTTTGCAGATCACATTGAGTTTGAACTGTTTGATAAGTAGTTTTCCCACTCCAGTCGATACATTTCAGTAAGGATATTATTTTAATATGTCTCCATGTCAAGCTCGTAATCTCTGTGATTAGTGTAATGCCTCCGGTCGCCAACGAAGTAATATTTCATGTTAACACGAACGCGCGCTTCTCTCTCTCTCTCTCTCTCTCTCTCTCTCTCTCTCTCTCTCTCTCTCTCTCTCTCTCTCTCTCTCTACTCACTCTCGGCACAATAAATTCGTTATCAATCAAAGAAAAGGCGAGTAGAAGAGAATGATCGATATCCGCCATTCAAAGTAGAGAAGCAATAACTCCTCGAGCAAAAAAAATGCCATAGACATGCACTCTTGCGGCGCAAAGCCTGTTACGACTGCAATTTTTTAATTTTCAACGTAAAAAGTTAATTCTGTGATGATAATCCGCGTTAATGATTGGTACGATAAATGTGCTTTCTTTTGCGAGTGTGAAGGAGATCAGGATTAGTGTAAGCTAATGTTGTCGTATATAGCTGCTAATCTGTTACTTGTGATTGTTGTGCTCTCTCTCTCTCTCTCTCTCTCTCTCTCTCTCTCTCTCTCTCTCTCTCTCTCTTCATCTCTTTGATGTTTTTGTCTTTTGACAAATAACTTCGTGATTTCATTCTAAGATATACATATGTTTGAAGCTTTTCGCTTATTACAACATTATCAGCGTGATTTTTAATACTCGAGAGAGAGAGAGAGAGAGAGAGAGAGAGAGAGAGAGAGAACGCCGAGCATTTCTCATTTAACAAAGAGTACATCGGAGCAACAATTAGACATTCGTTAATATACGACCGGGGAAGGATAAGGAGAAAGAAAGTCAAATAATCGTTCTATCAATAGAGTTAATTAGAGCATTGACCAGAGTGACTACATAGCCGAGGCGTAATAACCAGTAGAGGAGGGCGAGGTAACCCGTTCAATATTCACGAAGTAGAGTCAATCAAAGAAAACAGCTAATCGCTTCCGTCCTCGCACAAGCTAATTGATTCCCGAATGCGGACGCGAGCTTGCAGTTGTCTTACTCAGTTGTCAAAGGAAAAGCCCGAGTATATAGAGGAACAAAGGCAAGTGCTTGCTACCGAGGAAACGTTGCCGATGGTGGCATCTCTCCTGGCTTGCCTGCAATTGGAAGGCGTGAGCTTGCGCTTTGTTTTTTACCGGTCTGCGTCTGTGTGAAAATAGAAACGCTTAAGGTTGATAGTCCTAGAGAAATGGGTTTTCGTTTTGTGATAGAGCTGCACTCGTGTCACGTACGAAACCTGTAAAATGAGCTTTCGCGCGAGTGGAACACATTTCGCAGTGTTATTCTCGATGTCCGTTGCATTTTTATTCGATTTTAGAGCATAATACTTTGCTTAATTCGTTATTCATTTATATCGAGCGTCGTCTCGTTCGCATTTGAAAAAGCAAAGTATCACATTTGACGTTTTGTAAATGAGAGATACGTTGGAATATTTCGCTCCAATTGATGGTATTTTTATCCAATTGTTTGCATAATAATAATAATTATTGCCGTTCTCCCTTGTATATTATCGTTCGGTGAACATTTTGATATTGATCAAATGAATGAAACTGAAAAAAGTGAATTTGAATTTCGTTGAACACGTTTAGTCAATGAGTACAATAGATCTCATTAAAAAGAGAGAAAGAGAGAGAGAACTTTCTTTCTATTCCCGAACTTTTCAATAAACTTTCCGTTCAATTCCCGCATAGAATAGCTGCCGCGAAAAGATGAGCAAGTTTAATTCTCTTTCGCTCCTCTTCTCGACTCAACTCGGTGTTCAACGAGAAGAAAATCCTCGCGTACATCCCACAGGTAATCTTGGAAAGAAGAACAGATGGCAACCGGGCGAACAAGAAGAAGAAGAAAAAATAGGCGATCGATGCATTGAAAAACTCGTCGGTTAGTTAGCCGTCACGGAGAGGAGCTCGATGCACTTTTTGACGCGGTAATGCATTTATCTCAGAGTTTGTCGAGCAACTTTAAGGAAAAGCCACGACGACAATGATAACGACGACGACGACGACGACGACGACGACGAGAGCGCTCTTTTGGCGGATTTATCACACGGCAGCTTTTGTGTGTGCAGCCGACGGATTGCTGTCGTTGATGTTGTTATGGGAATGCCTTGATGCATTTTTCCTGTGTTCGACGTCGAGGAGAAAAGTTGAATTCGTTAACGTTAACGAAAGTTACAATCACGCGCTGGCAAGATAAGAAAATATGCCAGCGAAAAGTTATTGTACCGATGAACTATTAAATACAATATATTAAAGAGAGCCTATTAGGCCACGCGAGTGCGAGAGTATAAGAATTTACGCTTCAGCTCTTTCTTCGTATCTTTTAAATATAGATAAAAAAAAATAAGGGAATCTTATAATTTGCGAGTTCATCTTTCGTTAATTAACGCGAAATACACACGCAGCAATCGCATTTGAACAATGTCCGCATACATTAATTTGCTAATGTGCTAGTTCAGCGGAACGAGAAATGTGTCGTAAATAAATCTTAGCGTGTGGCTCGTAAACATCGTCGGACGTTTTTGTGTTTCTCTTGTTCATATATGGAAAGTATTTCATTTTCCCACTCGCAAGAGGCAGAATATAAGCCCAATCAGCATGACCCAGTGAACAAGTGGCTTTTGTGGAGCAAAGTGTCTCTCTATCTCTCTCTTCTCATGCCTCCTTCGTGTCTGCGGCATTATTCAACGGCCAACGAGATGGATGAGGGCGTGAAATTTTTAGGGATTGATCCTCCGATATCAATTGCCTTCCTCGCCCTACCACTACGATACATGGGACTTTTGATTATTCAATGACTTGTTTTGCCAGCATTCCGGCTTCTCTGTGAATTACTACCCCGCCACGCGGTGCCAATGCAG